ACAGGCATTAGCCCCTGTGCCGAGCCGACAACGGTGGTTTCCGAGATGAAAGATCTAAGAAAACTCCATGGGGTAGGATTCTTAGAAGACTCCCTTTTCTATTTTTTTAACTTCTTATTATTATTACTGTCTGAAATGTGTTCCTGATGTCTGATTTTTAATATTCATTCTTTGAACTTGAATATAAGTGACAATGCTAAGTATAAACCAACGTAAAAAAATAATTTTAGTGAAATCTCTCTGCTATGCCTGGATTAAGAATCTCCAGGCTATAATTAAAAAGTAAGATTCTAGGTTATTTGAGTTAATATAAAATTTCTATTAGTTTAATGCAAATCTTAGCTGATGTTCCTCATTATATTTATCTACACATAGACACAGAGAATGGAATGACAGACAACAGAGACTTCAAAAGGGTAATAAAGTGAGAGGGCATGAATAATTAATAATTACTTGATGAATACAATGTACATTATTTGGGTGATGCATACCCTGAAAGGCCTGACTTGACCACTACATGCAATCTTTGCATTTAAGAAAATCGCATTTGTACAATATAAATTTATACAAATTAATTTTTATGTGTTTTTATGTGTTAGTTTTCATGAATATGTAAATGAAATCATACTGTAAAGACACTTTTGTGGTTCATTTAATCACTGCATATTGATATTTTGAGATGGATGTAGAAATTAATACTAATTTCCACTGCTATGTGAAATTATCTTTTGTTTTTGAACAATTTACCCACCCATTTTATTGCTGATGGAGATTTGGGTTATGTCAACATTTTTTATTGTTACAATGTTGCTAGCAACAATTACGATATATCTTCTAGATCACATAAGATTTTTTATATTAATATACTATGACTGTAATTCCTAGATCACTGGATGTATGCATTTTCAAATATCTTTAGTAAGAAAAGATTGTATTTCCTCATATGCTTACCAATTGAAAGTGTGTCTACTTGTGAAAGAAAATCATATTTCACTAACATTTTAAATTATCTTTTTTTCATTTTACCAGCTGAGTGGGTATGAAAATTTATCTCCTGTTATTTTGCTTGTCTCAATTTCTAGTGAAATTAATTTTATCATATATTTTACAACATTGTGTTTCTTGTTTGAAATCACAGATGATGTTGTTTGTCCATTATCCTGTTGAATCTGTTATTTTTATTACTTTAAAATAATTACATCATATTAAAAATACACATCTTAGGAGATTTTGGAATTGTAAATATATGTTTGTGATATCCATATTTACCATTTTCAATGTTAATTTAGTCTAACAAATCATTCTTCTACTTTATGGTTTTGGGTTTTATTTTATGTCTTGTTTAGAAATTACCTTCCAACCACAATTAGGTGGTTTAAGTCTTTAATCAATGTGGAATTAAATTTATGTAAGATGTCAGGAAAGAATCAACTTTCTTTTGTAAACATATAAGTGTGATAACCTAACTTGTGCTAGCCTAACTGACTCCATCTTAGCTGTGAGCCTGACGTGCTCCATCTTAGCCTCTCCCTCCCTGCCTCGGTCCCCTCAGTTGCATTACTGGGTCATGCTGTACACAAAGCTTTGAACTATTGAGTTTGGTTAACACTGCTCTCAATACCTATAACCGAGATATAACCGTGTCCTGCTTGGCAAGCCCACCGGCTGTTGTGAGAACCCCCGCTTTTTTGTGATTGTATGGAAATATCCTGGCCCGCTGCGACTTCCTCTAACCCGCTTATTCTGCTTCTGTAAAATTCCGCTTCAGCTAGGCTCCCTCTCCCCTACCTAAATAAAGCTATAAAAAAGAATCAAGCCCCTTCTTTGGGGCCGACAGATTTTGAGCTCGAGTTGACTCTAGGCCTCCAGCAAATAAAGGACTCTTAATTTGGAACTCAGATTATGGAGCTTTCCTTCTAACGCACTCAGTTACAACGTAAGTAATCAATTTTCCCAGCACCATATCTTTGTAATCTTCAGTTCTCCTCACTGGTCTGAAATGCTACTTGTTTGATTAATAAACTTTAAAATAAGCTGCATCTAATTTCCAGTGTTAGGTGCTTTCTTTTTTTCTGTAAATACTTAGTAGCCCGAACCTTAAATCTATCCTCAATGCTGAGATTAACCTACGATTTTCTTTTCTTTTTTAAAAATCTACTCTGTCATTTTCTGTTCAAGGTTTCACTACCCTGACAAAATGAGTTGTGACGCTGCTTTTTTTCTTAGTTCTAATGGAAAAAAAAAATAAAAATATCGTTCTTGATTGAAAATACCTGTTCTTTGAATATTTGCTAAGTGTCATATTCTGCATCTTTTTTTTCCTTCTTTTTTATTGTGCTTTAAGTTCTGGGATACATGTACAGATCATGCAGGGTTGTTGCCTAGGTACATACATAACAAGCTGGTTTGCTGCCTCCATTCCCCCTTCATCTATATCTGACATTTCTCCCAGCGTTATCCCTCCCCACCTTCCTCACCTCCTGTTATCCCTCCCCTAGCCGCCCCCCCTCCCACCAACTGACCCCAGTGTGTGGTGCTCCTCTCCCTGTGTCCACATGTTCTCATTGTTCAACCTGCCTATGAGTGAGAACATTCGGTATTTGGTTTCCTGTTCTTGTGTCAGTTTGCTGAGAATGATGGTTTACAGATTCATCCGAGTCCCTACAAAGGACACAAACTCATTGTTTTTTATGGCTGAATAGTATTCCATGGTGTATATGTGCCACATTTCCTTTGTCCAGTCTATCATTGATGGGCATTTGTATTTACATTTCTGAAATTCATCAGAATGACCTCATGAAGTTCATTCCTAAACAAAATTTGGATGTAAATACCATTTATTGTTATGCCCATTTCTCTTCTCAATTAGTTTAATCTTCATCTTTGTTATTACTCCCTAATTTTAAACATGTGGCTCCAATCAGTTTCTTTCTGCTGTTTCTTTACCTGCCATGGAGCTGCTGACTGTGGTATTTAATCTGAGTCTGCCTTTCTTGACAAGTGCTTCAGCTATTTTTACATGCCTTTCTTACATGATTCTGATATAGTCTAGCTTTATTGTAAGTGACTTACTCTATATAAGTTCTGTAAAAGCAACTATTTATTATTGTTTTGTGGGCATCTATTTTGGTAGATGTGAAAGATAAAAGACACATCGTGATAAAAGGAAGAGTAAGTTTATCCATTATATGGTAAAGATACTATTTCCTTTTATAAATAATATAATACATGCATTAATAATTTAATTGATAAGTGGCTGAAAATAGCTTATAGTGTTATCATTTCCAGAAACCATACATAAATTTTAACTTTCAACAGTAAGGCATTAGGCTTGGCATTTAGGTATTAAGTCAGTAAGAATGTGTTTGGACACTCAAAAGTCCTGCCAGTCCTCCAATGGCAACATGTAGCTAGTTGTCTGATACATGCATCAGGAATTTCCTACATAGTCAGCAAGGTCACTAGTAAAAGAAACTCTAGTTTCTAATTTAAAACTATTTTAAAGGTGTATAGTACATAAAGTACTAAAGTGATTTGTTTTGTGGTTTAGGATTTTAGATGCCATTTTACCAATGATAACTATTTTGATAAAAACGGAATTGTGAATGTCATTTTGGAAAGCCTGTTTTTCCCATTTTGTCTTAAAGATAAACAACCTACGTGTAAAACATAGGCATAGATTTTTATCTAATACACAAAATAGAATTCTCTTACAGAAATTTTGTTTGTATAATTGTCATTTTATTCACAGTTGTGTTCCCTACTTGATGGGGAAAAACAATGAATTAACCAGGGAAGAGAGAATATTATAGTGAGTACGGAGTCACACCACCTGGATTTGCACTTTTGTGTCAACACGTCACCACATCTCATTCTGCCTCTATTTATTGATCTGAAAATGTGTAATTATTTACAGTGGTACTGTGTGAATATTAATTTTGAAAACACTTAAAAAACTGTGCAGATGATATTTAAGTATTTTTATGTTAATTATGTGAGTTTTACTCATAGGCTATTACTAATTTTATTGATACTAGAAAAATTATGTGTATGGCTGTATCTATTTAGGGGACTGTAGGATGATTATATACATACTGGAATTATAAAAGAACGAAATGTTTAAAGTTAGTTTCATGTTTGCATGTATGTCCCCTCTGGTTTTCCTAGTAATTAAGAGCTCATGTTTTCAAATCAGAGTACCCCTACTTGAGTCTCAACCACTCCATTTACTGGAAATATAGTCTAACATTAGTATAGAAGTTCCTCATCTGTTAAATGATGTTAATAGCACCAACCTCACTGGATTGCTGATGGGATTAAATAAGTTAGTGCACATAAAGTATACAGGACACTATCTAGCACACAGCTAGTGTTCAAGACTCCAAAATAATTTCTGAACGTGTATGTCTATTTATGAAATATTTGAGGACATTTTAATATCATTTTAGAGGCGCTAAAGAAGAATTATAAATTTATTAGCCGAAAATACGGTAATGTGCAGGCATTTCCAATATAATATTTTATTATAAGTTGAAGCTAATAATATGTTAGAATTCTGCAAACAACGTAATAGAAAATCTGCCTTATCAACCTCAATGGCTTAACATAATAAATTTTATTACTAATCACCACATAGTCTAATGAGATTGGAAGTTATGGTAGAGGGTCTTCATGAAATCACTAAGGGTTACAGTTTCTTTCAACCTGGAATTACCATCATTTTTTACATTCCCCTCCAAGATTATACCAGAAGGGAAAGGCATAAGGCAGGATTCTGAATGGAATATACTTATAAACGAGACCTGGATCTGGTTTACATTATTTTTTTATCTAGCAATTTTTTAGTCAGAACCAGATGCAGCTGGAATTAGGAAATATGTTCTTTCTATTTACTGCGGAGGAAAATGAAGTAAATGCTATATGTTCATCATATATCACCCTATTATAAATATTAAAATTGTATTATAAATTCATATAATTTTTCTGCAAGTCATACTTACCATCTAATGTTGCTGAAGCATGTGAGAGCAGCTCTATAAAAACAATACAAAACCTGGAAAAATAAAATGTGATCATGAATATGTTGATGCAAATGATGAATCATTAAATTATTTTAACATTATGGTGTTTCTTATGCTGATAGTAACATAAACCAGTAATAACTATTTCTGAAACTTGGCTCCTGAAAATAACATTATATATCATAATTCTGTAAAAAATGCTAACAGAAAATGTGCTAGCAGCCATTATTCATTCTATATATTTTTAGGAGTTCTGGCAAGGGATCACTCCATAAAGCAATTATTTCAGCAAATGTATTGATAAATACAACATTTTTTTCTTTAAAGTATGTCATATTCAAAATACTATGATTGAAAAATTCATGTTTGTATCTTTATAGTGTTTCTATTCACAGAAATGATCAGTACTTGCCATATAAAGTTAAGTGGCACAACAGTTATCTCCATCTGATAATAATTTTATCAAATTACAATATTTGTTACAATATTATAATTTATTTCATAAAGGGTGAGCCATATTGCAATTGCATTATATCATAAAATGTTCTAGAAATAACTACAAGTATCTATCTAGCCCAATTTTCTTTAATGTTTATTTTCAGGTATCACAACAGTTTTATTGAGGTATGATGTAAACATAACTTTCACACATAGTTATTTACAATTCAATACATTTTAGTTATTTACAATTTAGTAAGTTTATACAGTTTTACAACTACCATGGTCTAATTTAGATATTTCCATTGAACCTACTCAAAGCCAATCCTCACATCCATCCACATCCCCAGGTAAATATAGTTATGATTTCCATTTATGTACATTTGTTCTGAATATTTTATATAAATGGAGTCATATAATACATAGTATTTTGTATCTTGCTTCTTTAACAAAGATTTTGAAGTCAATTCATCTTCCATATACATAATTTACTCCTTTTTATTTATTTTTAGTATTCCTTTGCATGGATATATCACATTTGTTTATCTATTCACCAGTTGGGTTTCTACTTTTTGGCAATTGTGAACAAAGCATCTATGTACATTGGCATACCAAGTTTTGAGTGGGGAGTGTATCTACCACTTTAATTCTTTTGGAAAGATTTTTAGGACAAAAATTGCTGGTAATATGATAAACTTATATTTAGCATTTTAAGAAACAGATGGACTTTTGCAAAGAAGTTGTACTATTTTTATTTGAACCAGCAATTTAGAAGAGTTCCAGTTTCTTGAAATCCTTATAATACTTGGTATTGACTATCTTTTATATTATGATCCTCTGGTCCATGTATAATAAGATGTCATTGTGATTTTAATTTTAATTATCCTAATGACTAATGATGTTGACAACATTTTATAATGCTTAATAAAAATTTGTATGTCTCCCTTGATCAAAAGTGTATTTAAGTGTTTTGTCTATTTTTTAAATTGAATTGTTTTGTTATTATGTTTGAGTTGCAAGCTTTATTTATATATTCTGGATGAATATATAAACTTTGAAACTTCCTAGACACTTGTTGAATGGCTTTGAAGTAGCTGATAATGACATGGACAATGAAATCAAAACTGAAGTGGTCTCCGACGAAGATGAGGAATTTGATTGGAACTGGAGTAAAAGTGACCCTTGCTACATTTTAGCAAAGAGACTGGCAGCATTTTGCTTCTTCCCTTGAAATTTGTGGAATGTTGAACTTGATGGAGATGATTTAGGGTATCTGGCAGAAGAAACTTCTAAGCAGCAAAGCATTCAAGAGGTGATTCTGGTGCTGTTAAAAGCATTCAGCTTTAAAAGAAACAGCATAAAAGTTCAGAAATTTGCAGCTTGATGATATGATAGGAAAAAAAAACTTATGAGGAGAAATTCAAGTTGACTGCAGTAATTTGTATAAGTAATGAGAAGACAAATGTTAATTTCCAAGACAATGGGGAAAATGTTTCCAGGGCATGTCAGAAACTTTCAGGGGAGCCCCTCCCATCACAAGACCAGGGGCCATAGAGAAAAAATATATTTTGTGTGGGCTATGTACCCATCTAATTATCTATGTCTTTATATGTGTATAACAACACAGTGCTATACACACACAAACATTTGTCAGTTGTATGTGTCTAAGTCTGCCTTTTTGTCTCTCTATAATCTGTCTATTTCTTTGTCTATTGTATGTCTTCCTGTTTGTCTACCTGTCTCTCTGTCTGTCTTTCCTTCTATCAGATTATCTAGCCATGTATCTATTAGTGAAATCACTGAGCCAAAATAGGTTAATCATGTCATGTTTAAAACTAGCTATATAATATTTCTTTGCATTAATTTTACAGAATTTACTTAACTGTCCTATTGTTCATGGACAGTTAAGTTGATTTTTAAATATCTGAAATAATGTGGCTTTGGAAATCATAGATTTCCACTCTGAGGAATTACTGCTATGAAAGTTTAGAAATTCACAAAAATAACTTTTAGTCAATGGACTGTTCTTGCTGTTAAAAAGAAATAACATATACAAAGGTTATTTTTTCACATTTTTGAACTGATTTAAAACATGTTTAGACAAGTTTCATTGAAGATTAAATAATATCAAGTTAATTGAGAAAAGAAGTATATTTTACATACTAAAATATTATTAATGGCTATATATGAATTAATTATCCACTAAAGATCTATAATGATGACATTAAAAATTCCATTTTCACATAGAGGAGAATAAGCATAGCTCAAGCAAAATGGTGCAATGAACAAAATGTTATTTGCAAAATATTAACTACTTGCTGGTATTTTTAGTTTATTCAAAGCTACTGTCTGAACATCTAAATCATAGATCAGTGAAAAATTTAACAAAAAATGTAATTTTATACATCTCTTCAGATTTTTAGTGCTAAGATGAAGAAATATGAGTTTGATGGCAATTCAGTTAGGTAAATTAATAATACATCAAATGACCTTCACTATAAAGTGATAATTAAAGAATGAATGCCATCTTCTAGGGAGAATTTTAGTTGTGTACTCATGGTTAGGACGAATCAATATCATGAAAATGACCATACTGCTCAAAGTAATTTATAGATTCAATGCTATCCCCATCAAGCAACCATTTGCCTTCTTCACAGAACTGGAAAAAACAACCTTAAACTTCATAAGAAACCAAAAAAGAGCCTGCATAGCCAAGACAATTCTAAGCAAAAGGAACAAAGCTGGAAGGATTACACTACTTGACCCTATACTATAAGGCTACAGTAATCAAAACAGTATGGTACTGGCACCAAAACAGAGATTTAGAAAAATGGAACAGAACAGAGGCCTCAGAAGTAAAGCCACACATCAAAAACCATTTGATCTTTCACAAATCTGACAAAAACAAGCAGTAGGGAAAGGATTCCCTGTATTAAATGGTGTTTGGAAAACTGGTTAGCCATGTGCGGAAAGCTGAAACTAGATCACTTCCTTACACCTTACACAAAAATTAACTCCAGATGGATTAAAGATTTAAACATAAGATCTAACACCATAAAAACCCTACAAGAAAACCTAGGCAAAACCATTCAGGACATAGGCATAGGCAAGGACTTCATGACTAAAACATCAAAAGATATGGCAACAAAAGCCAAAACAGACAAATGGGATCTAACTACATGTAAGAACTTCTAGCCAGCAAAAGAAACAATCATTAGATATTGAATGAAATTAAATTATAAGCCATTTTATGTATATATATTTACATATATATATAAAATAATAGCTCTTTTGAAACAAGAAAAAAATTATGGGGAAGATATTGTTAACTTTATGATATTATGATTTAAATTACAATATACTGCAATTAAATTTATTGCTATTTTTTCCATAAATGTAAATTGAGACAAATAGTCCTGACCTATCATTCTATTGTAGTCAGCATATTTTAACTTATTTGCATATAAACAAGAAAATTAGAATAATTTATGAGATATGAATTTTAAAATTCTGTTTAAATTAATAAGTACAAAAAATAACACAATATAGAAAACTGATTAAGGAAAAAGAAACAGGTGTGTGATATTTTGAAGGTAATTTCTACCATGATATAATTTTCCTTTTCAATTGTCTCCTAATGGTGCATATAAGACATATCTACATATCATAATTTCGTCCATTACAAAATATAGTCACAATATTATTATAAAAAATGCATATACAGACTGTTCATATGTCAGTAATGTATTGTGTATCATGGGTCTCAACATTAATGTTTATTTGAAGTTTTCCTTTAAAGGGTGTGGTTTTACATGCTTAGCTTTTAATTGCTATTTAACTAATTTATGAGCCTTCCTTTATAGCTGATTTTTTAATCTAAATTTATAAAATTAAGGGTAAATAAGGCTTGTGCCAGTAGTTTGCCTTTAAAGATATTAAGCAGGTTTTGCAACTTATCAGTTAATTAGGAAATTTTTTTCTACTGAGGAGCAAAGCTATATGGCTCACTTTTAATTGCTCCTTACTAATTTATGGGCTAGCTGTAATTTTTTTTTAGAGATTATTGCTTAAATCATATTTTAAAAGAACCACATTTAAAGGTCTTACAAATCCGTAAATTTTATCAGAGAATTACAATTTGGGATGTTATTTGTTTACAAAGAACACACAAAACTTTACTGCGGGACACCTGCAGAGAGCAGTGTGTAGGTATCTGAACCTGGCCCTGCCCAGCTGCTGCCTGCTGTTTACGTTTCGCTTGTGCTGCTTGCTCCCCTGCCTGAGCAGCAGCTGTCCTTAAGCTAAGCCTGTTTGGCTTGAATACTGCTGCTGGAGCAGCAAGTTTTACTTTTTTTTTTTTTTTTTTTTTTTGAGACGGTGCTTCGCTCTTGTTACCCAGGCTGGAGGGCAATGGCGCGATCTCCGCTCACCGCAACCTCTGCCTCCTAGGTTCAGGCAATTCTCCTGCCTTAGCCTCCTGAGTAGCTGGGATTACAGGCCTGCACCACCATGCCCAGCTAATTTTTTGTATTTTTAGTAGAGACGGGGTTTCACCATGTTGATCAAGATGGTCTCGATCTGTTGACCTCGTGATCCACCCGCCTCGGCCTCCCAAAGTGCTGGGATTACAGGCTTGAGCCACTGCGCCCGGCCAAGTTTCACTTTTGAAACGACCTCTGATTTCTCTAAGGAAGGAATGTTAGGCGGATCTGACAGATGTTTGATAAAATACTGAGGAGGAGTTGACAGACTCCTTTTTTTTCAGCTCCTTCTTTATAAAGCAATGAAAGACAAACAAAGCAAGAGAAGAACAAAGTAAGAAAGCACAGATTCATTGAAAATAAACGACAGAGGAAGCAACTAATACTAACTTGTCCTCTTCTTAAGAGGTATTTCCCATTGTTACTCTGGTATACTTCCCAAGTGTGTCTACCTACCCATAGCACTGATTAGTTTTGTCCTCAGGGTTTCTTTGTCTGTAGTTCCTCCAGTTTACCATGCTCAGCCCTACCTTCACCAAAATTCTCAAGCCCACCCCATGTTGGTCACCAGAACGTAGGGATCCACGAGCCCCACAAGTTGGGCGCCAGAATGTAGGAAACCAGCCCTACATCACCCATGGGCACCCTGAGTTTGGTGGTCTGTCCTTTTCTCATTTCTCAAAGGAGTAAGAAAAGGACAGATTAAGAGAAAAAATGGGACCAGGGGGCCATCACTTACTACTGGAGGTGGTGAAGGCCCCAAGCTCTGATCATCCACACGATTCATTGGTTACAATAACTTTGATCTATAGGGTGGGGTGGAGTGAATCAGTGAGCCAGGAGTGAATCAGTGAGCCAGAAGTGAATCGGTGAACCAGAATTGGTGGCTCATTGTAAGGATTGATAACAGTGGTGGTTTGGGAGTTTCACAAACCAAGAACATGTGGTTGTCTTTAGCTTATTATCTACGTACAGCTGGTGGAACACGACCTTACAAGGACCCTACAAGTCTGACTACGTCATAGTGCTATGAAGGGGTTTTACATCCTTGAGTACAATGTTTATGGTAACAGAGTCTAGGTCACCCTGCACCAGAACATGAGGCATGAAGAAGACTTCCACCTCAGAGGCCTCCTGTGGCCTTCCACAGTTTGCTGTTCCTTGTTTATATGTTATTCATAACCAATGTATGTAGGCACTCTGTAAGTCCTTTCTCCTTTGCTGCTTTTCCCAACAATAAAACAAAGCTGTATTTGTTCTGAATCAGGTAGTTGTTGCAAGTTTTGAGTTCAATACTGTGAAAAAGTATCCATCTTTGACTTATGTCTTAAAGTCCCCAAATAATTTTTAAACAAATAATTTTTATTGTTCAATAATGATTAAAATTAAAAAATATTTTGAACTAAATTTAGCAAAAAAAATTGTAGTAAATATTATGAGTTTTTTCTTTGTAGAAAAATAATCAAAGTAATAGAATAGATAGAGATATATGAGAAAAGATTTATGAGGAGAGCTAGTTCCCTAGATTACGGAGGCTGAGAAGATTTATGATAGGTTGCTTACAAATTGTAGACAAACCCAGCAGGCCAATAACGTGGCTCAGTCCAAGTGTGTTTGTGTGTGCGTGCAACAGGGTTTCACGATATTGGCCATTCTGGTCTCGAACTCCTGACTTCAAGTGATCCACCCACCTCGGCCTCTCAAAGTTCTAAGATTACAGATGTGTGCCACTGCACCTGTCCTTCTCCTACAGACAGTGTAAGTGCCTCTGGGTAATTACACAAAATGCCAAAAAGTAAGCAAACAATTACTATTTCAAGATACTATTTTGCTATCTATTTAGAGTTTCAGAGGTTTATACCAGAAGAAATAAACTTTAAAAAGTCATATTTTATTGTGCAAATTAACTATAGACTACTTCTGATTCTCTGTGTTGATTTGATATTCAAAAGAATGATCAGAAAATAATATAATGTCAGTTGAGTAAGTCAGTCCTAAATTCTCACATATTTATATGTTCATGAAATCTGTATCAGAGATGGTGAAGCTGCATGCATCTCATGGTATGGTGGAGAATCTCTAAGATCCTCTATTCAGTATAAAAATGCTATAACATGTTAAGAGGAAAATATTCATTTCAATTTTAAAATACTTAAATAGACAAATATATGATGTACATGATTAATCTTGATGAGATTATAATACACTCTTAAAATGCACACAAATTAAATGAAAAACTATACTAAAAGATATCTTTTAAAAGATGTAATTCATGAGTTGGAGAGAAAGTGCTAAAGAAGCACAATGTTTTGTCACAAAATATAGTTTGTCACAAATTTGATAGAACAAGGTAATTTTACAAATTGTCTTTCATTATGATTTGAATGAACTTCATTAAACTGTGGTCACTTAAAATATTAACTTCTAAAAATAAAAACTTTATATACAAAAAATAGAATAAAATTTCCCATGTTTGATTTTATATTGCTTTTCACTTGCAGTAACAGACATAATCAGGAAGCTTCAGTTATGTAAGGTGAACGAGTTCTAAAGATCTGCTGTAAAACCTTGTACCTGTAATTAACAATATGGTATTGTACATTTTCAAATAAGATAAAAGCATAGGTCTCACCATGAGTGTTTTTACCACAAACACACATGCACATGCACACACAAGAAGATAAGGGCATTTTTTGAGGTAATGGATATGTTTAATACTTCGATGATGGTGTTAGTATCATGGATGTATACATATGTCCAAGTTCATCAAAATTTATATATTAAATATGTGCAATTTTATACATCAATTATACCTTAATAAAGTTAAAAAGGCAAAATTAAAAATGATTTTGTATTAGGATTCTTCAGAAAAACAAAACCAATAGGATGGATACATGGATAGATGGATCTATCGATCAATAGAGATATATCACAAAAGATTTGTTAGAGGAGCTGGTTCACAGAATTATGGAGGCTGAGAAGTTCTATAATAGGTCGTTTGCAAATTGTAGGACCAGGGAGCCAATAACATGTCTCAGTCCAAGTGAAGACCTCAAAACCAAGTTGATGGTATAATGCTCTAAGGCTGCAGGCCTAAGCATCCGGCAAGCCACTGATACAAGTTCTGGAGTCCAAACATTGGACAACTTGGAGTTCTGATGTCCAAGGCCAGAAGAAGAACAGTGTCTTAGATCCAGACAAGGGGAGGAGGAGGGATGGGCAGAAGTAAATTTATCTTTCCTCCGACTTTTTGTTTTATCTGGACCCTCAGTGGATTAGATGGTGCTCACCCACGTTGGGTGAGAACAAGTCATCCTTACTGAAATCACTGACTCAAACGCCAATCTCTTCCAGAAACACCCTCACAGACATGCCCAAAATAATACTTTACCAGCTCCCTGGGAATCCCTTAACCCAGTCAAGTTGATCCTAAAATAACCATTACTATTATGAAACAAGGATATTCTTAAAGTTAACTCAGATGTAGCAAAATTCATACACTGCATTCTCTAAAACATTTAAAAATGTTAAATTCTGATTTAATTTTATTCTCTCAGCTGTAATGGGTATATGAATTGATTTTCAGATAGATTTAAGAGCTAAAATTCAGTTAACTACCGATTTACTGAATTATGCATAAAAGCTTAGGGTTTTAAAATGTGTTAGTTTTCCCATGGCCAGATTTATTAATTTCTAAAATCGGTTTGATCTTTTTAATCAAATCTGTGAAATCTTCCATATACATTCATAAGATATTATTACATTGAAAACAATATGTAATAAAATATCCACTCAGTCACATTTGAATAACTAATACTTTCTTTTTACTGCTTCTAGCCTAATTATAACAAATTTATATAATCATTTAGCTTAATTATTTTATTAGATTGTATCTTCATTTTACATCTGCTGCATGAGTGACAGACTAGAACTTGAACTGACATAAGATGCTAAAGCTTATGATTCCTAAATTAGTGTTGGAACTATTGAACCATGCTGTGTCTCATTAGCGATAAGCAGGTTATTTGTGGTACATACATATTATAATTATTCTACCATTTCAGGTTTCAGACTAATATGATTAGAATCATATATAGTATTTATTCATGAGATATACATGATTTAAAAATCTGTGACTTAAACATACAGAACTGGGGAGAATACTCAAAGAATCAAAAATACCTGTGTTCCTCCTGAATCTTAGCTTGTGGCATTTTTCTTCATTGTCTCAAGATGGCTATTTCAATTCTAGCCCCTGTAACCAAGTCCCAATTTGGAAAAAGAGATAAAGGGAGAAAGACAAAGAGCAAAATGTATTAGAAAATCTCTCATAGGATGAGTAGATAGGTAGATATAAACATGCATGCCTATATGCATGCATAATACATATGGATGTATGAGTATACACATATTGCACCAATAACTTCTGGAAATATATAATAGCTAGAAATGTATTATGTGTTACACCAACAGCTGCTAGCAATAAAAGACATCAATTTTATCTGGGAACAAAATCTTGTTTCTATTAGTAAGGAAAAAGGAGGAAATACATATGGATAAGAAATATGTGGTAACTACAAAATGTTACAAAATATGTATATGCTTTTATCTATCTATCTATATATAAATAGCTTGAAAAATAATAATGTGTAGTTTATTTTACAAGTGAACATAATTGGTTTTACTATATTTAAGTGTTATCTAATTTTCCATTAAAATATTCTAAGAAAATAGCTGTTCTATTTTAAAATATTATAAGGAAATAGCTGTTCTGTGTTTTGTATCAGGAAGAAAACATGGAGTATATTTCTTATTCTTACATCTACAAAGACTGAGAAAATTTCAGGGACTATAAAGCAAACTAAGAAAGTTAACAAAATACCAATAACTCTGAAATAGGTGCTGCTAGGAAGGGTTCTGTTAGGGATATCAATTTGCCTCTGATTCTTTCCTTTCTTTATCTTCCACTGTGAATCAACAGCTAAATCCTATCTATTTTACTTTCACAGTATTGCCTGTGTTCATATTCTTTTTCTCTTCCTACTCCTGATGTCCTAGTTTCTTTCATTGTCTTGCACAGGACAATTTTCTAACTGGTGATCTCAAGTACACCAATACATGTACCATAATAAAAGTCTTCCAGACATTTCAGTTTAGGATTTCTTTGAGCTTTTAACACTACTCACAATTCTCTATTATAGAATCTCTGAAAGAATGCAGTATTTCTCAAGTGTATGTTATTATATTTCACAGAACACAAAATATTCCTGATAACAGTGTCTTAGTAAAACAGAACAAAACAATTAAGTAAAACATGAATCCTGTACCTGAATTTTTACAATTTATAAACAGAAAACCCTGACTTAAACTAAAAGGAGAATGAATGTTCAAATATTATCATTTCCTCTAGTTTCTTTTTCCTCTTGTTCTTTTCTATTATCCTACCCACTGATGACCAAATTATTTTTGCACCATATATTTGATTATGTTACCATAGTCTTCTAAAATTTTCAGTGACCTGTTTTCATATCCAGAATAAGTTATTCAGTATAATGCAATGCAGTTTCAATCTATATTTCCAGCTGAGCTTTTAATCAGTCCTCGTCTTCCACTAATGAAATAGTGGAACACAACCAAACTGCCCACTTGCCATGACCTTGGAATGCTGTTTCACACATCTGTGCTTTGTCAGTCTTTGCCTAAAATGTCTTTCTTTGAACTGCTAATATCTGTGTCAAAGACATTTTCAGACAAAAATTTTTTTAAATTTTGTTTTTAATCCCCCCAAATTACAAAGTATCTCTTTTATTAATGTAGCATATTGTCCATACCTGTACAACTATTACATTTAAACTTGACTATGATTAGGTGTTAATATGCTATGTTATTAAAATTATTTACTCAGTTTTACTCAATTGTTTTACTCAATTTTACGTTCATATTCTCCAGAAACCATAGTATAGTACCTAATAGAAATATGTGTTCCTAATCTATTTATTGAATTTAATCCATGGTTACTACTATTACTCCTTCTGCCTTTATTCACTTCATAATTCCAAGGACTATAAAAACATCAACCATATCTTTTCCATTCCTCACTGACCAAAAGCAGACAGCTCTCTGACAACCAGGAGGGGCAATGAAATATGTCTCACTCTCTCAGAATCTGGGTTTCTATTTATTAAAAGTCCGTGTTGTAGTCAATAAACATCATAACTGTATTTTCTTAAAAAGTGATTACAAATATGCAATTTTATCTCATTCAAAACACTCTAAGAGTTAAGCATTTCTATTTTTATATACATATATGTGTCTGTATGTATATATGTGAATATACATACATATATCACTCATGAACATACACTAGAGAAGAATAATGCAGAATTATAACATAGTTGTTTTGACTGAAAATTGAAAGATCTCTCTTACCAAATTATCCTCACTTACAGGTGCAAGAATCATCTAAATGTGTCTTATTATACCCATATCTCACCATATTTTTAGAAGTTCGTGAAGAGAAAAAGGCAGGGTGCTATACTTATCTGATTTAAATTGAAAAGACCTTTGTCATTTCTCCCCAATTTATGGCTCAGATCCAATATCTTTAGGGGATATAGATTCAAGCATTTAAGTTTATATTGTGGTGGCTGAGCCACCTTTACAAATGATATCCTGAAAACAAATTTAAAAATAATTAATTTTAGAAATTCTCCACAGTATTCACATATATCATCCAAAATTAGAAAAAGACAAAATAAAACTTGTTTTCTTTCTATTTTTATTTTTCTGACCATTTACTTAAAATATAATCTTGCATTTCACATTATTTGTTAGCAGGTTTCTATGTATTAGACCCATGCCAATATATGATGTACTTGTGTTGAGCAAAATAATTTATTTTAAAAATGTGTTTCGTTATTGCTGTGAAAAAAAATTTTGGAGCATAACCAGAAAATTCTGTCTTTACCTAAGTTCCAGAGGGTCTTCATGGAGTGTTCAAAGAAATGTCTATATAGAAAGGCTTATCATGTTTAATCTAAATACACTATTTTAATTTAGTCTGATCAGAGTATATATATATAAGGGTTTATAGAATATGAAAATGTAGACTTCTATTTAACATCTGCTTATTCTTAAAATTTCAGTGATTTGCAAGATTTCACATATTGTTTTCCTTCCACTCTTTATGTTTTCCTTTCATCATCTTCTATAACTTTAACCACCAAATACTTTTTAGATCAAAATTCCCCCATGGTATATATTCTGAACTTCAGACAAGTTTATGAAGCAGCCTATCAGGTGTCTTTACTGGAATGCAATAATACAAATTTACCTAAATTTATCTCAAACAGAATCAATCGTTTTCCATCCCACTCCTCCTACACCTTCAACACATACTTCCTCTTATTTATCTTACCTTAATTCTTCCTTATTGAGTGAAATACAATCCAGACACATAAAAGAACATTTCATCCTGTCTCTGAAATTCAGTGACACCAATTTTTTCAATTTATCATATGATTACATTTAACTAAATACTTGTATCATAACTGGGTGTTAAAATTTCCTTTTTAGTAAATTTTCAATTCCTAGAAGACAGAGCCTTCCATTCTGCACTTTTGTATTCTCCTTCAATGTTTACAATAGTGCTGCATTAATGCAGAGGAATTTTACTATCTTACTGGGATGTAGTAAGGATGAGGTACATTGTGTGAGAAAATTGTGATATAACTAAGTATTATAGAATGTTATACATGAAGTATCCATAAAAGATTCTTCTATCTGATGACTGAATCAAGTAGTTTATATAACTGAGAAAGACAAAATTAAGTATCTTAATTGTGATCCATACCTTTCCTGTTGGGGAGGGTGTGGAAATATTCAAGAAGATAGTCTACTTGTCCTAATCTCCTATATACAAGCTAACAGACATACTGAAAAACAGAAAACAAGGTTATTAAAAGATTTGGTCTCAGAAATTCTCTTTATACAAGTTATAAATTAGTAAGAGTGCCAAATGTGTGATGTTTCTGTGAGTTGTTATTTTCCATACTTAAGAATGCTTTTACACTGTTAGTGGGATTGTAAATTAGTTCAACCATTGAGGAAGACAGTGTGATGATTCCTCAAAGATCTAGAACCAGAAATACCATTTGACCCAGCAATAACATTACTGGGTATATATCCCAATAATTATAAATCATTCTACTGTAAAGGCACATGCATACATATGTTTATTGCAGCAATATTCACAATAGCAAAGACTTGGAACCAACCCAAATGCCCATCAATGATAGAATGGATAAAGAAAATGTGGTACATATATGCCATGAAATACTATGCAGCCATAGAAAATAATAAGTTCCTATTTCTCCACATCCTCTCCAGCATCTGTTGTCTCCAGATTTTTAAATGATTGCCATTGTGGTAATGTAAATGAGTTCAACCATTGTGGAAGACAGTGTGGAGATTCCTCAAGGACCTAGAAATAGAAATTCCATTTGACCCAGCAATCCCATTACTGGGTATATATCCAAAGGATTATAAATCATTACGCTATAAGGACACATGCACACGAATGTTCATTGCAGCACAGTTTACAATAGCAAAGACCTGGAACCAACCCAAATGCCCATTGATGATAGACTGGACAGGGAAAATGTGGCACATATACACCATAGAATATTATGCAGCCATAAAAAACGATGAGTTCATGTCCTTTGTAGGGACATGGATGGACCTGGAAACCATTATTCTCAGCAAATTGACACAAGAACAGAAAATCAAACACCACATGTTCTCACTCATAGGTGGGTGATGAACAATGAGAACACATGGACACAGGGAGGGGAGCATCACACACTGGGGTCTGTCAGGGGGAAATAGGGGAGGGACAGTGCAGGGTGGGGAGTTGGGGAGAGATAGCATGGGGAGAAATGCAGATATAGGTGATGGGGAGGAAGGCAGAAAATCACACTGCCATGTGTGTACTTATGCAAAAATATCGCATGTTCTTCACATGTACCCAAAACCTAAAATGCAATTTAAAAAAAAAAAGAATAAGTTTGAGTCCTTTGCAGGGACATGGATGAAGCTGGAAACCATCATTTTCAGCAAACTAACATAGGAACAGAAAAACAAATACATCATGTTTTCACTGATAAATGGGAGTTGAACAATGAGAACAAATAGGTATAGTTGGGGGAACATCACATACCAGGGCCTGTCGGGGGGCGGGGGGAAAGGGGAGAGATAGCATTAAGAGAAGTACCTAATCCTAATATAGATAACAGGTTGATGAGTACAGCAAACCACCATGCCCATGTACAACTATGTAAGAAACCTGCACAATCTGCACATGTACCCCAGAACATAAAGTATAATAAAAAAATTAGAATACAAGCATTTAAACATCTTATTATAAATTCATTTAAAAATAAGAAAAAATTATTTTAAGATTTAGAATAACAAGTACTTTATATAAAAAAAAAAGTTCCCTACTCGGGAGGCAGAGGTAGCAGAATTGCTTGAACCTGGGAGGCAGAGGTTGCAGTGAGCCAAGTTTGCACCACAGCACTGGGCAAAATATTGAGACACTATCCCAAAAAATAAAATAAAAAATAATTTCCATACTCCAAAATATGAAGTCATTGTGTTGGACATTGCACAAATTTTGCACAATGATACATTTGAGATATAATTTATATGTCACAAAATCACCATTTTTAAGTGTACAAATTTCTGGCTTATAGTATATTCAAAAAGTTGTGCAACCATTATCACTATCTAACTTTAAAATATTTTCATTACTGTAAGAAGAAAAATCCATTCTGATTAGCAGTCAATTCTAGTTAAACTTTCCTCCAAAACTCTGGCAACCACTAATCTATTTCCCTGTATATTTGTGTATATTTGGATTTTCCTATAATAAACATTTAATAGAAATAAAATCATAAAATAAGTGGTGTTTGTTGACTGGATTTTTAAATTCGGCATGGTGTTTTCCAGGTTCATTTATGTTGCATAATATACAATAGAGTTTCATTCTTTTTTATTTATAAAGACTATTTCATTATATTGATATACTGCATTTATTAATCCATTAAACCTTTGATAAGTTAATGAACATTTGGATTGTTTACACTTTTGGATATTATAATAACTTTATTATGAATGTTTATAAAAAGTTTTGTATAAACATATGGTTTCAATTGCTGGGTCATATAAATACTGACTAGAGTTTCATCATTATCAGCATTATCTTTTGTCTTGTTTATTACAACTATTAAAGCAGCAATTATTTAGGTATTGTATTCATCTTATTACAAAATAAATCAGTTAAATTACAGTAGGAATATCTACTTCTTCCCATAAAAGTTGACTTTATCTATATGCTAATTATTGATGTACAGTGGAGCATATATCAAGAACTAAAGCTTTGATAAATTCCAAATAGTATAGCATTTTATCTTTTGTGGATATTGCCAGAAGAAAAATCCTCTTCATATAAATATATCTACATGGATTCACAGTAATTTTTTTTTCTCTCTTTTTCACCTTCTTCAATGGGAAATAATGCTACTCAAATTTAGTAAGTTTCTCATACCCACCATCTGTGTATTTAAATGTATCATTTTTATTTAGATGACAGTGGTTGGCTGTAAGACAGCATCTACATATAAACTACATTTTTAATGGTCAGGTGCCACAGATTCAAGGAACCATTGTTTCTCCCCAAGATTTATACTTGTGGTCCTGAGGTCAGTGTCCATGAACATCTTCCTTGGGTTAAATCGAATTGCCTTGGATTGAACATATCCAATAGCCCTCTCGAGTTAGGACACTCTCTTTTCCACCTCTGTCTTGTAGCAAATTGTATACTTACCTGTTGAGTTTATTACTCCCACATTTCTAATTCTGAATTGTTCTCAGTTCAGGCAATTATTACCATAATTATCCAGGTAAATATTACCATAATTATCACCATAATTTTATCCCCCTAAAATAGCATCACTATTTTATCCTCCTAAAATAGCATCCCTTTTAGAAGCCTATCCAAGCTAACATTTTTTTCCTCAGTGTATTTTCTCAAATTTGCATAATTTTGGTTTATGTGCCATAGGCCAGCACCAGGATCACTTGATGTGTTTTGGCCAGTAATGGTTTATAGATCATATATGTTGCTTTCACTATGTGTTAGTATTCTATATTTAAATCAGTTATATATATTTTGTCTCAAACAAATATTGTTTCTTAAGAGAGAGGCATTTGAGTGTAAATAAATCTTACACACATTTTAGTTTAAATGCACCAAATCACCTTCCATAACTGCCCTGAGTAAATGTCAAAGCTTTCAATTATGGTTATGCAAGCCTACCATGTAACTCTTAGGCACATATTACTTTTGGCATGCCAAACATTTTGCATCTTGGTCTTTGCTTTCCATCTAAAAAAACAAGGCCTATCAGTATCACAGTACATTATTCTAAGACAGTGAAAGCATTTGTCTAACAGTCTCCATTCATCATAACTGTGCAGTTTTCTCAAAAAGTTACTACTCAGTTTAATAACTATATAGTAATCAGTATGTCTAATACTGAATAAATCCCATTGTGATTATTTTGGTGGCAGAAACTCCTTCATGTGCTTCCTAGGAGGTTTCCTTAATAATAGACATAACCTGTAAAATTCAAGACAAAGTATATTGCCATACTGAAAACATTCAAAATCTGTATTAAAAATGTGTTTTCCAATTATTCAAACTGTCTCATGTGAGTCACATGGGCTTAAATATTCCTAAGGTCTTCTGGGTTCTAATTTATCACCTTAACTTTTTAGTAATGATGATGATTTTAGAAATCAAATAGCTTTACTTTTCTTGTTATCTGAGAATATAGCTAAGAGACAATACTATTTCCTGCTTTCAAACTATCACAAAGCGTCAAAGAAAAACTAGAATTACCTTTTTGTGTTATGCTTTTATTGGCCCTCTGTCCTTCAGCAATCACTTCCTCTCATTTTCCTGTATCATTACATTTCATTCCTACTTCTTCTCTCTCTTACTGTTGCCTGAGAGTACAAACATCTGGTTTAACAAGAGTGCTCACCAATAAAGTGGCAGCAATATGAATTTGGCTGTTTTCCCATTGGCCCATTCTAGTTCGACAGAGTAAGACTGTGTAAGTATAATCTTATAGATTTATCTCATTAACATGTTAACCAGGTTTCAAGAGTCTGAAATATTGAGCCCTATCTGAGGAGAATGAAGAACTCACCCCATCATTCTTTAGGAATTCATGCTATTATATTTAGAAATAGTTTCATGATGTACGACATGCCAATGAACTGAGAAGCACAAGTAAAGTTCTCAATGCAGGGGTGCAGGTGTGCAGGCACACTAAGGGACTAAGACCTACTTGTAGGACTATAGAACACTTCCCCTCCCCAACACCTCACCACATTACTAAAAGATTATTTCCAGCAATTCCTCTTACCCAGTATTTCATGTTCAGCTATCAAGAAATAATTAAAAGACACACTGAAAGACAAATATAAAGACACGGCAGGTCGGGCGTGGTGGCTCATGTCTAATCCTAGCATTTTGGGAGGCTGAGGCTGGTGGATCATGAGATCAGGAGTTCAAGACAAACCTGGCCAATATGGTGAAACCCTGTCTCTACTGAAAATACAAAAATTAGTTTGGTGTGGAGGTGTGAGTGAGCCTGTAGTCTCAGCTAGAGTCCTGCCTCCACAGAGGCAGGAGAATTGCTTGAACCCAGGAGGCAGAGATTGAAGTGAGCTGAGATTGCTCCACTTTGCCCCAGTCTGGGCAACAGAGCGAGACTCTGATTCAATAAATAAATAAAATAAAATAAAATAAAATAAATATATAAAAAGACATCGCAAGTATCAGAGTCAGAGTCAGACACATGGCAGG